TTCTCCAGATTTCTTGGCACAACTTGGTGAGCACGTCCAGGGCAGCATCTGTTAGATGAAATATGTCAATTGGTATTCCTGGGGCCTTATTTTTTGTCATTTCCTTCAAAGCAGCCTGAACTTCTTCCTTCATGCTCATTCCCAAGCACTGTTAACAACCTTAGCATATTTAACACATTCTAGGTCCTGTTCAAAACACTACAACTGCTCCAACTAATTTTATTCTAAAAGTCATTGAAATACTTTTAAGTTCTATTGAATTTAAGAGGAAATTGAGGTAGAGTGACCAAGTTAACTTCACTAAATTACAAAATTAAGAAGTGGCAGAACCAAGGTTTGAAACCAGGAGATCTCCAGAATCATGGCTAAAATGTATTACTCACCAATCCCCTGCATAAGACTATTTTTATAAAAGTAGAAGGGAAGCTCTGTCTCACATACTTTGGGCATAAAGCCAGGAAGGACCAATCCTTGGAGAATAGCATCATGCTCTGAAGGGTGGAGGGACAGAGCAAGAGAGGAAGATCCTGGATGAAATGGATTGATACAGTAACTGGGGCAATGAGGGTAGGTATGTTGGGGTCAGTAAGACTGGCTCAGGACAGAGCAGACTTCAGATGTATATAGATAGGGTCGTTATGAGTTCAGGCAACTCAATGGTACATAATGATAACCACTAGTAAAACATGTATCAGGATCCAAGGGGTGTAGGGGTGGGAGCAGAGGGGTGAGGATGGGTAGAGGCAAAATTACAGGGTTGCAAACTTTGGTGGGTGGAGGGAGGGGGTATAGGAAATAGGAAAGATCCAGCAGGAGCCTAAAAAGTTAGGGTAATGTCCATAGTCCAATGGTGATTAATTTTATAAAACACAATGAATGGGAATAATAGAAACATAATATGAAAGAATAGCATGAAGCACAATGTATACGAACTTTGTAACAAAATCAATATAAAATAGTTTTTAAAAAATGTTTATGCCACCTTCTCTTCCATTCCTTGATAGAGGGGCTTCAGTTAATGTTAGCTGAAGACAACTCAGTCTCTTGATCTCTGACATGCCAACTTTACTACTCAGTGTATAGATTTTTATCTCTGGAAAAGGGTTCTTTTGTGCTGATTCCCACATTGCTGATCCCTTTTGCTGGTCAAGGATGGTTCAACCACTATTTTACGCTAACTACTTTGTTATAGTACTTTTGTAAGCAGTTTAATTAATTGTCTGTTGAGTCCACAGTCCATGGATGTAGAATGATTCCAACTCCCACTGCTACCCTAGTGGCCTCGGACCTCTGTTTCCATGACTCCCAGGCAAGGACTTTCCCTCCTGCCAGAAGTGGCATCAGAATTGGATGAAAACTCACCAACAACCTGCATTATGCAGATGACACACTTTGCTTGCCAAAACTGAGGGGGACCTGACATGTTTGCTGGAGAATGTCAAGGTCTGTAGTCTCCAATATGGATTGAAGCTCAGCATCAAGACAACAAAGTTCCTCACCACTGAGCCAATTGGCAGCATCATTTTGGAGAAGAGTTTGAGACTTAACAATTTCAGCTTGCTTAGTTCCTCAATCAACATTCTTGGCATCAGTAGTCAGGAAATCAAAAGATGCATTAGGGAAATATGCTATCAGGGACCTCTCCAGGGTGCTGAAGACTAACTATGTCAACCTAAAGACTAAAGTGCACCTGATCCAGGTCATAGTCTTTGCTTTTACTTGCTATGCATCATAGCCTGGACAACGACTAAGAATGACAGAAAAATAATCAAAGCCTTTGAATTGTGGTGCTGGAGAAGAGTATTGAACATATCATGGACTGCCAAAAAAACAAACAAGTTTGTCCTGCAGAGGGTAAAACCAAGCTGCTCCTTGGAGAAACAGATTTTGAAGCTCCATCTCACATGGGCATGTTGCCAGGAGGGACCAGTCCTTGGAGAAGGATATTATGTTTGGAAGGGCAAAGGAAGAGCCTGGATGAGATGGATTAAAACAGTGACTGGGTCTATGGGGACAGCTATGTTGGGGACAGTAAGACTGGCTTAGAATAGAACAAGGTTCAGGGCTATTGTACATAGGTTGCTATGAGTCACAGGTGACTCGACACATAACAACAACAATAGGTACACTTTTTCATATCTCGAGATTTCTCCATGTTTTTATACACACTTTCTCTTCATATAATTCCCCCTTTATTCACATCTCTAAAAGAAAACTCTAGAGTTCTTTTTTTCCGGGTGTAGGGGGCATGCCCTCCTTCCTCTATCGCCTTCACCTTCAGGATCCCTTGGTACTCAGTGTACCTGAATACACAGATTTCTCTGGTCTTTCACTGTAAAAATATCAGCTTGGCTGCTACCTTACCCCTCCCTCCTTCCCTCTATTTCCTTCTATTTTCCAGTAAATCATGTCTGAGTGCCTCCTTCATGTCAGGCATGGTTCTATAGGCACCAAGGGATTCGGGACAAAGCAAACAACACTCAAAGAGCTGACAGCTCCATTTAGCCAAACATCTAGAGAAGATAAAGGCCCCTCCTGCCTTCCACCTGTTCCTAGGAGAGAAGCACACTTTGTTGAAAAGTAATATAGTGCATTTTATTGAAGCATTTCCATTTCTTCCATTGACAGAATTTATGACAATTCTGTTAATGATCTCTGCCGCAGTTGTCTTAGTCAATGTCTCCATAGGGACCTGTCATCCAGCTTTCTAGACACCATCTTTGTGAATAGCTCTTTTTCTCACACAGGTTTTTCTGGAGAAGCTGTGGTGAAAGGATGTAGAACAATAGCAGTGACTCCGGAAGATCCACGGAGAAGGGTTGGTTTCCTTGTCAAAAGTGGATGCCTTTCATCTCTCCACTGTAGTCACTGTTTCTATTGTCAGAGCTGGTTTTGTAGGACTGAGAAATAGCTGTCTTTCAGAGCTCAGGATTGGCAACTGTCAGGCTGGAAAGGGATGGCCTGATTAAGAATAAGCATGGAAGTTTCTAGGCGGTCCCGCCTTGGCTGGAGGCCAGAAATGAGGCCTCCGCTGTACTTGGCCTGTTTCTGGGAGACCAGCAGTCAGAAGAGGGGAATTTCCATGAAGACCCACGTGGCAGGCCCCTCCTCCCCTGAGTTACTGATGGAGAGTGGAAGGTGGAAGATCTTGGAGTTCCTCCTTTTCTGGGTACACCTCTGCCACTTTATTCATTTTGGTAAATATATGATTGATCTCCATAAATGTCTTGCCTTTGGTCTCAGGGACGATCAGGAAAGTGTAAATGGTGGTGAGAAGACATATTACGGCAAAGATGATGAAGCTATAGGCCCCCATGCCGACCTGTGGGGAAGAGAACAAGTGAGAGCCCAGGGGAAGGGACCTCCTGACCCTGTGGGTGCCACCTCAGTGACTAAGTGGGGTGCCCGTGTACTTTTTTAAAAAATAAAATTTCAATTGTGATTTTAACAAAAGTTTATAGAAAAGTTAGATTTTCATTCATTGTTGCACATTTTAACCCCCATCCCTCCTTCCCTTTCACCTCTCCCAGTTCACTTATTTTTTTAAAAAAAAATATTCATTCGTTGTTGCACAATGACCTTCCTTCCCTTTGCAATGCACCTCTTTTTTTTTTAATTTTTTTTTGCAATGCACCTCTTATTCTGGGCTACTATCATACATATAATGTCTAATCATATATTCCTTTTGAATAGTTCTTTCCTTCATCTATTCCAGTGCAATGTTCATTACTTATCCACTTTTATACATTAGAGACTGTGTACATTTTAGAATAGGATCTCACTATAGTGCTTGGGAGTCCTGGGGTTAAAATGTTCACTTGCTAATGCAAAGGTTGGAGGTTCAAGACCATCCAGAGAAGCCTTGGAAGAAACCCCTAGTGATCCACTTCTGAAAAATGTGTGGCTGAGAAAGATTTGGAGTACAGCTCTGCTCTGACATTCATGAGGTCACCACATACCAGGAACTATAGTCAATCTGAGAGCAAATGGTTCTAGAACTGCTCGAGGATGTGAGAAGTCAGGGCCCCCACATACCTGGATGAAAGGGAAGATCAAGCCCACAGTGAAGTTGGAGAGCCAGTGCACACTGCCTCCGATCATGAAGGCAGCCGGCCGAGAGGACTGCAGGAAGATCTCAGTGATGAGCAGTGCAGGGATGGGACCTTCGGGAACAAAGAGTAGCAGTGTCCTTCCCTCTGGGGGGAGCGACCCGACAGTGTCCTCAAGCCCCTGCCTTCCCTGGGAAGGTGTTCTGATCCAGGGGTGGGGCGGGGGTGGGTGGGTGACGACCCTGTACTTGTAGAGCAGCCATATGTGGATGTAATTGTCAAGAGTTTATCATCATAAACATCACTGTGATGTTGCAGCACTGGCCACATAACCATCTGTAGGTCAAATAACCATCTGTAGGTCAAGTTAATTCTGCAGTGGCACATGCACTAACCTCGACTAGTTGCTGTATACTTTTTATTTTGGTCATATTCCACCCTTGGCATCAGTAGTCAGGAAATAAGGAGATGCATTGCACTAGGAAAATTTGCAGTTAAGTCTTCTCCAAATTGTCAAGGAGTAGTGATGTCAGTTTGAGCACTAAGGAGTGTTTGATTCAGTCCATGGGATTTCTGGTTACTTGCTATGCATCTGAGAGCTGGGGAATGAATAAGGGTGACAAAAGAAGAACTGATGCCTTTGAGCGGTGGTGTTGGAGAAGAGCACTGAATATCTCATGGATGGCCAAGAGAACAAACAGAAATGTCTTGGAGAGGGTGCAGCCGGAGTGCTCTTTGGAGACAAGAATGATGAGACTTTGCCTCACATACTTCAGGCATGTTGATAGGAGGGGCTATTCCTTGGAGAAGGATATGATACTGGGAAGGGGGGGTTCAGTGAAGGAGAGGAAAATCCTCAACCAGGTGGACTGACACAGTGACTGCTGCAATGGGCTCTTGGTGTCAGGAAGTGTGAGAATAGTGCAGGATGGAACAGGGTTCAGATCTTTTTTTCATAAAGTCACTATGAGTCGTACTGGACTCAACGGCATCTAACAACAACAATGAAATTGGGAGTGCCATGGGTCTAATGATAAGGAACAGTGCTGCAATCTCAAAGGCACATGGTTTGAATCCACCAGCCGTGCTGTGGAAGAAGGATGGGCAGTCTCCTTCTGTGTGCGTCACTGCCTCTGAAAACCCACGGAAGGTCAGCTATGGGTTGGGTCTGACTCAATGACACAACAATGAAGGCCCTGTGGGTCACAATGGTCTGATACCCAACTGATGGCACATTCCAGTGCCTTGTCCTAGAGTTGCCATGAGCCATGCCCCTTCTAACCACCACCACCAGCCTATGAAAGAGGAGGAGAAGCAGAAAGGACATCCCAGGCACGTCTTCTGCACCCAGGACCTCTGGAAGGAGCTCAAGGCTAGGGGCAAAGAAAAGAGGGAATGAATAGTAACCCTAGTTCTTGGTTACGTACTGGGCCCGAGGGCATGTCCTATGACATAGGCGATGACACACACGATGCTGATGTAAGGCATCCAGGATATTGTTGTCTGTGAGAGGAAACGGAGTTGAGTCATATACTGAAGACAGAACACTTCAAGAGGGAGATGTCAGGAATCTTGGGATGCTGTGGTCAAACTGATCAAAGGGGAGGCCTCTCTAGTTAGAGGGAAGATAGGCTCCCGGCACCATCTCAAAGAATCATCATCAGCACAAAGAAAACACTTACTGAGGAAGGACACATAATCAGAACCTTGTACTGGCTAAAAAGAAATCCCTTTAGATCTTTATCCTCACAATACTGGCTGGGGCTCAGAGTGACAGCAACACTGCCCCCCACCCCTGCTGCTTCCCATGGGGAATTTCTCTGAGCACTGACACCAGAGCTCCACTTTCCTCACCTGTAGCACCAGGGCAGCTGTCAGCACGCAGCAGGCTACAAAGCAGAGAGAGAAGCCAAGGAGAATCAGAAGTCTCCTGCCCAGCAGCTCCACCACAAACACCTGGAGGAGAAGGTGAGGCAGTAAGGAGAGAGGCACAGGGATCAGCATCCTGGCCAGAGATGGAGTAACTGCCCTGAGGTCCAGGTGCACCACTGTCCACAGCAGTGGGTCCCAAGCACCTTCTCAGAGCCCTGGAAACCTCCTCCACCCTTCATGTAACTTCTGATGGGACAGCTCTGTGGACAGCCAGGTGTGCTGTGTTTCTGCCGCCTGCGTATATGTACGTGCATGTGTCAGACCACTTGTGTGGATGTGCATCTGTGTGCACATGTGTGATAATGTATAAGTCATGTATAAGCATATATGCACATGCTTAAGGATATGTGCTTAAATGACTAGCAGGAAAGCCTGAGGCGTGTGACCAGGTCCAGACTCCAGTCACTCTCACATCCGCTGCCATCCTGTCAAGCCTGATTCATAGCAACCCTCCATTGCATTTCCAAGGGTGTGAATTTTTACAAGAGGGGACGACCCATCTTTCTTCTGTGGAACAGCTGGTGAGTTTGAACTGCTGACCTTTTTGTTAGCAGCCGAGCACGTTATAGACCACCCCGCCAGGGCTCTTTGGCTCTACCTTTTGTGGCTATTAGGTGCTGTTGACTCTATTCTGACTCACAGCGACTCCATGTACACATGTTCTCCATGCCCGATCCTGTACCATCCTCACAGCCTCCACCCTTTACAGCCTCCCAACTGTGCACCCTTGAAGCAGGATCCCCGCCAACTGCTGGAGGCTGCGCGTCTGGAAGAACTTGAAAGATTCTCTTCCCTAGATGTGGCGAAGAGACTTTGGCCATGTGTCAACCAGGCATGGAGCTGTTTGGTGGTGGGTGCTTCTAGGGACACAGCCAATCCTGTTACACTGTGGACCTGGCACAGGTGGTATGCACAGCCTGGTGACCCCAAATGTAAGAAGTTTAGGAGTATTTTCATGCAAAGAGAGGAAGAGTGGGGGGGGTCTATCTTTGGAGAGCCTCTAGGCTATTCTCTCAGGGGGCAGCCAGGACCTGATGGGAGGATGAGACTAGGGATGAGATGAGAGAGTGAGGGCATATCACCATCTCAGAGCTCAGATTCACTCGTTGGTGGGAAGACCCCCTCTCATACCCCCCACAGTTGGTGGGAGCAGGCAGGAGATGGCCCAGGACACTCACAGCACAGGCTGTCATCACCACGTTGACGGCACCTGTGCCCGCTGTCACGAACTGGACCTCAGTCTCCTTCACACCAGCGCTGAGGTAGATCTGGTCTGCGTAGTAGTAGATCTAGAAGAGACCAAGGGATGGCATGAGGGGCTGGCCAAAGGAGGGGCCCGCTGCACCATGGGCCCCTTGGGCCTCATGAAGGAAGGGCGTGGACATCCGCCTCATCACAAGGCCTAGATCCCTGTCCCTGAGGAGGCCCAGCCTTCCACCCGGCCTCCCTGGTCCTCTGGCTGTCCCCATACCGCATTGACGCCGGACAGCTGCTGGCCGCCCATGAGGACGATGATGGTGATGACCTGCCACCGCAGGGACCGCATGCTGAACAGCTTCAGCACCGAGATGGAGCCGGCCGCCCGCTCCGCCTGGTCCTCCCGCCGGATCTCCTCCAGCTCCTCGTCCACGTTGTCCCAGCCTCGCAGCCTCTTCAGAGCTGAGGACGGTGGGCAGGGGGCTTGTGAGGGCACCGGGCAGGGATGCCACCACCTCCTAGCCCCGCTTTGCCTCTCAGAGGGCGGCGTTACCATTCCTGGCAGCCTCTTCGTCCTTCTTCTGAACCAGCAGGTACCTGGGACTCTCGGGGAACATGGGCAGGAGTAGCAGCTGCAGGGCAGCGGGGACCCCGGTCAGCCCCAGGAGGATTGGCCAACCTGCAAAAGGACCACATCGTCCCTCACCTGGGGCCTTGGCTCTGGCGCCACCTGCCGGAGCGGCCTTCCCAGTGCCCTGCCCTGGCCCACTGTGTTAAGCCAGGTAAGCTCTGCCCATGGAGAATACACTCCCGGAGGGATGGAACTCTGTCACTCTCTGTCACTCTGCGTCCCTGCACTGAGAACTGAGCCAGCAGACCTCTCAAACCCAAACTCACTGAACTCGAGACAGAACCAATTCAGAGCTGACCCTTCTGTGGATTTCTCAAAGCTGTAAATCAGAAGGGAAGAGATGGACTGTCTTTCTCCCAAGGAGCAGTAGTTAGTGGATTTGAACTGCCACAGAAGCGTGGTCTTGGGGTTCACTGAGCAACTCCCTCAGGACTAGACCATCAGAGCTCCCCCAGGGGAACTACAATCCACCATTTCTAAAAGAGGAAAGTGGGACAATAAATCGCAGTGTGTTCTTAAAATTGACTCTAACCCAGCAGAACAGAAGCGAGTCATAGCAATGGCCAATGTCACCAACAGGTGTTTGCATACAAGAGTCTGCACAACATGACTCAACTTCCGTGATGCTCAGAAGCAAGTAAGATCGACACTACTGTCATAGAGAATGTCCCTGGGAGGCACAAATGGTTTATGTGTGTGTATTAGTCTAAAGACGGTGGTGCCACTGAATGGGTTTGAACCATCACAGAAGAAATGCCTGGTGATCTCTTTCCATAAAGATCCCAGCCAAGCAACCATGTGGAGCAGTTCTACTCCTAGGACGCTATGGGTTGGTATAAGCTAGAATGGGCTCAGTGATAACAATTTTTGTTTTGTTTTGGTTTTTCAAAAGGCAGTGAATCTGCTCTTGTCACCATCTTTCTGCAACACCACAATGGTGCACATAAATGTCCTGGCTGACGCTCTCAAGAGCATCAATAATACTGAGAATAGAGACAAGCGCCAGGGCCTTATCAAGCTGTACGTCAAGGTCATAGTTTGTTTCCTAACAGTGACAATGAAGTATGACTCTATTGGCGTATTTGAAATCATTAACGATCACAGAGCAGGGAAAATTGTCATCAGTCTCACAGGCAGGTTAAACAAGTGTGGTGTTACCAGCCCAAGATTTGATGTACAAGTCAAAGATCTCAAAAAGTGCCAGAATCATCTGCTCCTGTCCCGTCAGTTTGGTTTACTTGTATGGACAACCTCAACTGGTATCATGGACCCTGAGGAAGCAAGACGAAAACACACAGGAGGGAGAATCTGGGGATTCTTTTTCTAGGGAAGTGATGTTGTTGTTGTTGTTATGTGCCGTTGAGTCGCTAGCGACTCATAGCGACCCTATGTATAACAGCTTTAAACTCTGCTCTATCCTGTGCCAATCGCATTGCCTCTGACACACCCATACTGATTACCCCAGTCACTGAATCAATCCACCTCATAGAGGGTCTTCCCCTCCTGCACTGTCCCTCCACCCTACCAAGCATGATGTCCCTCTCCAAGGACCTGTCTCTCCTTACAACATGTCCAAAGTATGTCAGGCGCTCCTTAGTCTCCAAGAGACACCGCTGCTCTTAAGTACTTTAGAGAGGTCCCTAACCAGACTTTCCCATTGTGATACATTTTTTTTATTTCCGGCTGCTGGTGCCAAGAGTGTTGACCGTGGAGCCGAGCAAACTGAAGCTGTGAATAATCTCAATCTCTTCACCATCCATCCTGATGCTACCAATTGGTCCAGTGGTGAGAATCTTTGTCTTCTTGACATGGAGCCTCAGTCCTGCTGCAAGTGCATGAGGTCCTCCTCAGTTTCAGCAAGCAGGGTTGTGTCATCTGCATAACGCAGATTGTTACTAGATCTTCCACCAATCTTGACACCATACTTCTCCTCATAGAGCCCAGCCTCTTGGATAATCTGCTCTGCATACAGGTTGAAAAGGTATGGAGGTAGGACACATCCCTGGCGTACACCCTTCCCAATTTTGAACCATGCAGTGTTACCCTGCTCTGTTCTGACGACTGCCTCTTGGTCTAAGTATAGGTTTCGCATTAGCACCATCAAATGTTCTGGGATTCCCATTCTTCTCAGAGTCAGCCACAGTTTGTTATGATCCACACAGTCAAATGTCTTTGCATAGTCAATGAAACACAGATAGACATTCTTCCTGTATACCCTGCTTTCAGCTAAAATCCATCTAATATCAGCTACAATATCCCTAGTACCACAACCCCTTCTAAACCCAGCCTGGACCTCTGACAGTTCTCTGCTGATGTGCTGTTCTAGTCGTGATACATAGTGCAAATAAAATGCCTCAATGTATTCTACTGCTAAAAAAAAATTAAAAAAAATCCTGAAACTATGGAAAAGCAAGGCATGGTGATCATCAATGTCATCACGGTGGCTTGCTCTGGAAGTGACAGGGTGTGATGACTTACGGTGGACTGCTGGGACACCAGGCCTGCAGGCGCATAGTGGTTGCATAGATACTATTTAATTATATGTACACGTAAGACCAACTGTTCTTTATGTTATCTTTCATAATGAAAAGTGTTTTTTTAAAAAAAGTTCTGACTGTCAGTTACCAGTCACGGTGGAGGGAAGTCCAACTCCTGACCATCCCTCTCTGTGTCACTGCAGAACTGTACTCCAAAGGGTTTCAATGGCTGATGCTTTGGAAACAGGTCACCTAGAGGCTGATTGCCCAGTGAGCAAGGAGAGCACAGGAGCTCTGTGCTTGCCTAATGGCAAGGAGCTGTGCTGCAATCCCAAAGGCACACGGTTTGAAGCCACCATGTGAGTAACTGCCTCTGAAAACACACCGGAGGGTCAGCTATGGGTTAGTTCCAACTCTACAGTACACACCAACAACAAGGGAAGCACAGGCTCCCTTCTGCTAACTAATCTGCACTGAATAGTAGCATGGATTTATTATTATTATTAATTTTAATGAAAATTTACAGAAACTTTGGATTTCCATTCATTCATTATTGCACTTTTCTCCTGGCCCAACCCCCCCTCCCCAGTTTGCTCTTTGCTTTGAAAAGTAAAAAAAAAATCTTTCATTGTTATACAATCCCTCCCCTCAAGTCCACACCACTATTTTTGGTGGAAGAAATCTGGTTTGCAGCCTTGGCTTTCTACGGTATTGATTGCAGTTCTCCTGAACATACAGACCTTGTATATATTTCACTGCTTCTGCCTATGTATGAAATTTTAGGCCTACCCAATCTCCCCTAAGCCCTCTCATAGGCCGCTCCTTGGGCAGACCATTCACTCACCCCCATTCCCACTCCTAAGTACCACAGAAAGCTTCACAAACACAGATTCTTCCTATTGCTTTGATCCCCATTCATGTGTCCAGAACTATGGGATCCTTGAGACAGAAACCACAGTTCTTCTGCTTTTGAGTCCAGCTCCTAGTGCAAGTGGCCACCTCGACACAGGTGCCTTGAATGCACACAAGAGTGACTGAAAGGTGAGACTTGGGTGGTTAAACATGGTGCTGGGTCCAAGCGGTTAGGTTTGTACCCAATGAGACCTTGGCCGTGTTACCTGACCTCTCTATGCCTCAGGCTTCACATCTATAAGTGAATAATGAAATTTTACAGAGGCTTTGCCGATACAGTTCATGCCTCATAGGATCACAAAAGGAATTAATATAAAAGAAACCTGGCTTCTGATAAACACTTTCTGTTTGACTGGTATTTTTATTAATGGTGATTCTCCTTTCAGAAGATCCCAACCTGAGCCAAAGGAGAAAAATGAAAATCAATTTCAATAGTCATCAAGTCAATTCCTAATCGCCGTGATCACCCATCTGATTTCTGACTCTTAACAAGAGATGATTTTCTCATCTTCCTCTGCAGAGCAGCTGCTGAATTCAAACTACCAACCTTTTGGTTAGCAGCCCTATACATGATCCCCTCCACCAATAAAATGGCATGTGAATTGTTGGCCGCTGTGAGTTACTGTATCCCTACCACTGCCAGGCCCCCATCTCTTGGGGAGGGTAGAGCAGGTTCAGGTCAAAAGTCAAAGTCATTGCTGTTGAGTTGGAATCGGCTCATAGCTGATGCTCCAGCAGGGTTTCTGAGGCTATAAATTGCACAGGAGGAGATTCACGGTCTTTCTCTATCAGGAGAGCTGGTGGATTCAAACAGCTAGAGAGGTATGCTCTTGCAGCTAGCAGCATAGCTAGCTATGAATCAGACCCCCAGAGCTCGCTGCAAACTCAGAAGTCAGTGTTAAAGCTGATCCCAGCTTTGTACCTGCTGTGGACACAGCCTGAAGCAACAGCGATTGGGTAAGACTCTTAGCAAATAGAATCCCATGGCTGTAAGCACAGGGCTTGTCACACCAGTGACTATCATTACTGTGTCACAGGCCCTTCTGAGCCGTAGCCACCCAGCTGGCCCAAGAAAGTGAATCCCCTGGGAAGCATGGCATGGCACTTTCTGCTCACTCTGAGTCACTCATCTCTCTGTGAGAAGGACTGAAAAAGTAAGACAGTTCACCAACATAAAGACCTCGCAGGCCCTGAGGGTCAGGGAGCCGGTAGAGAGAAAAGACCAGAGATAGGAACGCCCAGCCTATGCCCACTGTGTTGAACACGGCAGGCTGAGGGGTGGGCCAGGGCCATCTCAAGTTTACCTTCTTCACTGGTGAGGATACTCCGGAGCCCGAAGATCTGGGCCACCAGGATGCCAACTGTGATGAAGAGCTGAGGCATCACTCCCAGGGCCCCCCTCAGGTTCTTAGGAGACAGCTCCCCCAGGTACATGGGGACCACGTTGGAAGACACACCTGGGAAGGAGATTCAAGCAAAAACATGAGTAGGGAAAATGAGTTTCTCAGGACACATATGTGTCTTCAAACACTACATTTCTTCTAACTTAGAAAGCACATGATTTGGGGCAGGTGTTTTTTTTTTTTTTTTAATCTCCAAAACACGGAGCAATAGTTTCTTTTCATTCACTTTTTAAGGAGAAAGAAAATGAAGTTCATGAGCAGGAGTTCTCGCTTCTTCAACTGCCTGGGTCTCTGGCCTTCCTCCTAACTGGTCTAGATCTCAGGAAAAGTGCTGAATGGGGCCCAGACAAACTTCTTCTTGTTTGTTTCTTGGGAGACTGTTAATAAAGGGCCAAGTGGTCCTTCCCTCTAGTTTAACTGTTGAAAACAGCATACTATACCACACACCTATCCACAGATATGTTGCTACACATTCTAGCACAAGTTAACTGTTTTCTATTTCTGAATAACTTCTGATAAGTATGTCTCATGTACTCCGTGCATTTTTTGGCATTTAGGTAGTGCAGTAAAAACCTCTGAAAGCAAAAACCCTGTCAGAGAATGAAAGCTCAGATATTTTGCACTAAAACTAGCAATATGAAAGTAAGAAGAATGCATCCTGTCAAAGGCAGAACATTTTCCAGACCAAGAAGAACCAGGCAGAAGAGCCAAGTCCTTGCTCTTACAGGTTTCAAGGTGGATGCTGTGTGTTGATTCTGACCCTTAGTGAACCTGTAGGAACTGCCCCACAGGGGCTCCTTGGCTGTAATCTTTATAGGAGCAGATTGTCAGATCTCTTTTTTCCCTGTGGAGTCACTGGAGCAGCAGAGTGCTTAACCACTGCACCACCAAGGCTCCTTTAGCCAAGTAGATGGTGGATTCTAAAGCTAATCACATCTAAGTATGAGAAAAGCAGGGTAGATACAGAGATACATGTGGGGAGGAGGCGGGGAAGAGAGGATGACAGACCACACAGACGGGTCCTCCTCACATGATTACAGCCTCCAGACGCTGAGACAGACTAGGAAGGAGTTCCTGAGACAGCCAGAGCCTCAATCCAGGCCCCATCCTCCTGGACTGAGACACCGGGGGCCCATCCACAGGGAGTGGTGCTGCTAACCCACAGGATACGTCTCTCTTGGGATCTGGATCAACCTCCCCAGGACAAAGGTGGACGATCGCCTCCTAATATTTACAGCCGTGGAAACCCAGCGGAGAGTCAGCTAGGATTCCCCGCTGACTCAGTGAGCAGAAATTCCAGTGCAATGAGTGGAGTTTTTTAACTGTGAGAAAACACATTTTTATTCCTTGAAAGTACCTGTTTGTATTGTCTGTGCCACAACACTACTAGGTACCTAAGCCTGGGAGGGAGACTGAGAGGTCCTGAGAGGGAGACATCGAGGGACACTGAAGTCCAGCCTGGACAAAAGGTCTGGAGAAGAACAGGAGAGTCTTTTTTTTTTGGGGGGGGGGCTCTTGTGTGTCAGGAAGTGTGAGGATGGCACAGGACAGAACAGGGTTCAGATCTTTTGTTCACAGGATCGCTACGAGTTGTACTCAACTCGATGACACCTAACAACAGCAAACTTCTGTATTATAATCCCCATTTCACGTGCAAGAAAACTGTTTTAGTCCAAGATCTCTAGCGAAACAAAAGCAGTGAACTATAAATATAGCTATCTAAAGCTCTTAATCAGTGAAATGATAAATGGAGTTTAAGGAATGGTCAGACACAATTGGAGAACTGGCAAGACAAAAAATCCATAATAGGTCAGATGATGTTTGGAGAATCCTGCAGCCTCATGAACAGGAGAGTCTTTGCAAACCTGCTCATCAGCTTATCAGATGAGAGACCCTGGGCAAGTTAAGAAACAAGTGAAGTATTGTATTTCAAGTCAGCTCTGGCTCACTGCAGTCCTATGTAAAAGAGAACTAAATGTTGTCCAGTCCTACCCCCAGGGATTTGTAAAACATTAAACAACATGGGTGACCCTGGAAGATATTATGCTGAGTTAAATATCTCAGTCACAAAAGGACAAATACTGCATACCACTGTTATTATTAAATAGGACTGATGGGGGGGGGCTTGGGAGGAACTAGGAAAAGGGATAGATAATGAACACTGCATTGAAACAGATGAAGGAAAGACTGTTTAAAAGGAATATTTTATTAGGCATTATTTGTATGACAACAGTCTAAAATAAGGGTTCACTGCAAAGTGAACTGGGGGAGAGGAGGGAGGAAATTGTACAACAATGAATGAATTTTTTTTTTAAGTGAACTGGAGGAGGAGGAGGAAGGGGGAAGGAAGAAAATGTGCAAATAATGAAAATAAAACTTTTCTGCAAACTATCATTAAAATCACAAAACAGGAACATAGAAATTCCATATAACCCAACTATTCCATTGCTTGGAATATACCCCAAGAAAATGAGAACTGGGTCTCAAACGGAAACTTGTACACCAATGTTCATAGTAACATTATTCACTGTTGCAAGAACATGGAAACAGCCCAGATGTCCAACCACACAAAAAAATGGATTGAAAAGTTGTAATACATTCATAAAATGAAACACGCAGCACAAAGGAGCAATGGTTTTGTAAATGACGACCTAACTTGGAAGGGACTGGAGAGCATTATGCTGAGTAAACTCAGTCCCACAAGGACAAATACTGTATAAAACCATTATTGTAGAATAAGTATGAGGATCCAAGATGGGGGGGATAGAAATAGAGGGATGAGGATGAGGGGGATAGGGTGTTAATCATGGGGTTGCACAATTCTTTGGTTGGTTGGGTGAAGGAAAGGGAAGGATCTTTTTGTGAAAAACAACAATGTATTCAAACTTTGTAAATAAATCAGAATAAAATTTAAAAAATAATTCAAAAAACAACATCACAAATACAAAGGGTTTGGATGGGAAGCCTTCCAATGGTAATATTCAGTTATCTTTTCTCAGAAGTTGTTGTTGTTAAGTGCCTTCGAATCTTAGGTACCTCATAGCCACCCTACAAATGAAAGTCCTGGACCCTTGTGTGTGTGACTTTCATCCTTTCTCCAGGTTCATAGGGTTTCCCAAGGCAAGCTATTTACCGAAGTGGATGCCACTCCTGCTTCCAAGCTTGTTTCGACAGGGGAGCGCCACCAAACACTGTCCACCATGGGTAACCGTTACCACATTTGACACATCAGAAGAACAGAAATAAGAGAGGGGCTCAGGCAGCTATGCAATGCAGACACAGGGGAACAGCTTGAGTTCATAAGCTATTGAGAGCCCACCTTGTCTGTTCTTCCCCCCTGAGCTTCTCAAATAACAGATTAGCAGGCCAGAGTAGCGTTGCTTACCTGCACATATTCCCACCAAGAGTCTGGAAATAATGATCATCTCAAAGGAATTGGCGACCTTGCTGCATCCCATTAAGACAGCAGGCACAATGGAAAATATGTTGTTGAACAGCAAAGTCCCTTTCCTGCAGAGGAAAAACACGAGTTAGTTTGGCTTAAGGACCAGTACACTGATTTAACACCAACCCGCTGACAGACTCTTCTGTGTAGCTATGGGCTTTGCTGTTGTGTTTCAGGTCATCAGTGGCCTAATGCACAGCACGGTGAGGGACTCTTCCCCAGGATGGACAATGGGAAGGATCACAGCTCAGAGAGGGAAAAGGGTGCCATGGTACAAGGTCAGGAAAGGTTTGTAGAATCATAACACAATTTTAGTCCAACCTTCTTTTTTAACTTAAAAAAAATGCATTTGGCCACAACAAGATAAAGGTAAACAATCCAATTGAAAAATGGCCACATGATATGAACAGACACTTCAACAAAGAACACATTCAGATGGCCAATAAACACATGAAGAAATGTTCAAAATCCCTAGCTCTAGGAGAGATGCAAATCAAAACAACTATGAGATACCATCTGACCCCAGTAAGAATAGCAAAATTTAACAGAACAGCAAGCAACAAATGCTGGCGAGGTTGTGGAGAAACTGGAACTCTTATTCACTGTAGGTGAGAGTGTAAAATGGTGCAACCGTTGTGGAAAGCAGTGTGGCGCTTTCTCAAAAACTTGCAAATAGAGATATCATTTGACCCAGCAATTCCACTACTGGAAATATACCCTAAAGAGACCATAACTGCCACCCAAGCAGATATATGCACACCCATATATATTGCGGCTTTGATCACAATAGCAAGGAGTCGGAAACAACCTAAGTGCCCATCAATAAACAAATGGATAGAGAAGCTGTGGTATATTCACACAAAGGAATACTACGCTGCCTTGAAAAACAAGGAACTCAAGCAATATTATTAAAAATGGGTGACCTTGGAAGACATTATGCTGAGTGAAATATTTCAGTCACAAAAGGACAAATACTACATAGTGCCACTGTTGTAAAACAGGACTGACATTGGGGTTGGGGGAAGACTGAGAAAGATGGAATAAATAATGTATACTGCATTGAAACAGATAAGGGAGAAAACTGCTTAAAAGGGCTATGTGATTAAGTATCATTGTCATGACAGGAGTCCAGAGTGAAGGCTGCATAGTGGAGTGGACCTGGGGGTAGGGATTGCATAACAATGAAAGAATTTTACTTTTCAAAGAGAAGAGTATACTTGGGGGTGGGGGCAGGGAGAAAAGTGCAACAATGAATGAATGGAAATCCAAAGTCTCCTTAAATTTTCATTAAAATTAATAATAATAAAAATGCATTTGAAAATTTCTAATTAAATTGTATTTATTGGCCTCTTAATCTAGTTTCCATTTTATAGTCTATGACCCCCCCAATACTGTTGTTAAGTGCCAACTCATAGCAACCCTACGTACAAACACAAGGAAGCACTGCCCAGTCCTGCACCGTACTCCTCAGCTCTATTGTGCTAATAAAGCCTCTTGCTGTGGTGACTATCAGCCCATCTCACTGAAGGTCACCCTCTTTTTCACTGACCCTCTGCTCTACCAGGCATGGCGTGCTTTTCCAGAGCGTAGTATCTCCTGAGAACACGCCCCAGTAGATGAGGCCAAGTCCCCTCCAGGAAGTGTCTGTCTGCATTTCATCTAAAGCAGGTTGGTATGTTATCTGTCAGCCACGGGAGTTTCGCTTTTCTTCACTGACACCATCATTCAAAGGTGCAGATTCTTTCTCTGCATGTAGGTTACAAACAAGAATCTTTTGTGTTGTCTTCAGTCTCAATACTTAAAAACTCACCTGGTTTACATTGACTATGTTCTTATCCTTTGTTGTAGGATGCATTTACGTAAGCCAGCTATATTCCAATAACCTGGTAAATGCAAATGTCAGAGAACAGAAAAACTAACAAAACATTATTCACTCATCCTCATCCAATTTCAGAACAATCACTTCCCTAAAGAAGCAATTCTGCCTGACTCTTTGCAATGCTAAGAAGCAAAAAAAAAGTGAAATTATAGGAAACTTCTGAAAGTTGACTAGATATTGTGTGCTTCTAATAGTTTGACACATGTATTTATTGGCCTTTTCAATTACTTCCTGTGTATGTGAAAGTTGGACAATGACTGCCTTTGACCTGTGATGTTGGAGAAGGGTTCTGAAAACTCCAGGGACTGCCAACAGAACAAACAAGTCTGTCTTGAAGGAAGTGCCACCAGGAAGCTGCTTAGAGGCAAGGATGGGGAAACTTTATCTTACATACTTTAGGTATGTTGTCAGGCCAATCCTTGGAAAAAATGTATCATGCTGGGAAGGCGGAGGGTTGCCGAAAAAGAGGAAGACCTCAACAAAATGGATTGACACAGTGACCGTAGCAATGGACTGGAGTATACCACATATGGTGAGGACAACACAGGACAGAGCAAGGTTCAGATCTGCAGTTCATAGGGTCGCTTTGAGTCATAGCTGACTCTGTGGTACCTAACAACAAGGACCTGTTGTTACTGTTGTTAGGTGCTGTAAAGTTGGATATGACTCACAAGGACCCTCTGAATAATAGATCTGAACCCTGTCCTGCCCTGTGCCATCCTCATCGTCTTTGACAAACTTGAACTCATTGCTGCTGTCACCATGTCAATCCATCTCACTGAGGGTCTCCCTCTCCTTCACTGACCCTCCACCTTTCCAGGTATGATGTCCTTTTCTAAGGAATTGCCTCCCCTAGCAACACACCCAAAGTGTGAGAGATGAAGCTTCGCCATCCTTCCTTACAAGGAACACTCTGGCTGCACTTTTTCCAAGGCATATTTGTTTGTTCTTTTGGCAATCTATGAGATATTTAGTACTTCTCTCTAATGCCATGACTCAAAAGACATCAAGTCTTCTATCTTCCTTATTCCTTGTCCAGCTCTCAGACGCATAGTAAGTGGTTGAAAAGACCATGGCCTGAGTCAGGTACACTTTAGTCTTCACACTGACATCATTGCTCTTCAGTAATTTGGAGAGGTACCTGAAGTACCTGGTTTGTTGTTGTTGTTGTTGTTGTTGTTGTTATGTGCCGTCGAGTCGTTTGCAACTCATAGCGACCCTATGTACAACAGTCCTAAACCCTGCTCTATCCTGTGCCAATTGCATTGCCTCTGACACACCCATCCCAATTACCCCAGTCACTGAATCGATCCACCACACACACACAAGTACCTGTTAGTCAAGAGTAACTTAACAGGTCAACATTTTAAAATTATAAACTCTAGAAATGAATAGGTAAACTGACCCACATACATAAATTACACTATATGTGTCTATTTAGTTGTATTTTCTTTGCCCTTAAAGACCATTTCATTTAAGGTACAATTTCTCATTTGCCACTTTGGAAGTCCTTTACTGTGAGGATAATCCCTTTGACTGATGATGAAGAGAAATCACATTGTCAGTGGTTTTCTTGGATCTTCACGCTGGGTAAACTCCACACTGGGTAAGTTTCTCCTTGAGGCACACATTTCCTTTCGTATCTCTGAGGTTTACTATTATTATTTCTGCACTGCCTGGTGGAACCTGATGCACCAGTGAAGCTGGTGACTTACTTCCCTTAGAATGAATACTGTGACATTACAGATGAATGGAATTCCTGTTGATTTCAAAGCTTCTGATATGCTGGGTTTCAGAGTACCAGTTCTATTAGGGAAACTTGTCAATAGAGTACATGATGTAACTACCTTAACAGCGTTATTTTCATGCTTCTTTTATGGAGTCAGTCTCTCTCTAACTGATATCAAGTCTGTTCCAATTCATCGAGACCTTCCATCAGTTTCTGAGCCTTTTAATGACAACGTGGAGTGGCTGGTGGGTTCTAAATCCTGACCGTTCAGTCAGCAGCCTCTACTATATCATTAGAGGATCGCCACAGTCTTCGCAATTTATAGCCAAAAAAATACCCCAAACCAAAAAACAAACCCTGAAAAATCTGCTCACTGTCATCAAGTTGATTCTGACTTGAGTCATCAAGTTGATTCTCACTACCATCAAGTTCATTCTGATTCAGAATCATCAAGTTGATTGAAAACCATATTATATTGTTTCTACATTATAGACTTTCTTTCCCTTTTGAAAACCTGTTCTTATTGCCTGAACAGCTCTGCTGGTAGACTTTTTTTTCAGTCCAGCATGATCCCTGTCACCTGTAGGGCAGCTTCTGGGGCCCATGTAAGTGACAGCAGTAAGCAGTATCATGGGTTGAATGTGGTAACATCCTGAAGCCCCAAGTGGACAAGGGTGTTAGAAGAAAAGTATAGACCAACCTCAATTATCAACACAGATACAAATAGAAAAAATTAAACATGAACAAGCCAAATTCAACAGCATATTTAAAAACCTCTGGGTGTATTGCACCAAATTAGATCTTCTACAAGGAGCCCTTGTGGTGCAATGGTCAAGTACTTGGCTGTTAACTGCAAGGTCACTGGTTTGAACACACCAGCCACTCCTTCAGAGAAGTGACCCAGAGATCTGCTTCTGAAAAGAATGTTGGTTTTAGATGTTGTCAAATTGACTACAAAGTTTACAAAGACCCTATGAACAGATTGTAACCTTGCCCTATTTTATACCATCCTCCTCACAATCTCAGACACCATCAATCCCATTTTTGCAGTTACTATGTCAACCCATCTTGTTAAAGGTCTTTTTCTCTTTTGCTCACTCTCTTAATTTTCCAAGCATGATCTCTTTTTCCCAAGGACTAGTACCTTTTGACATTTATGTTTAAAGTATGTGGGACAAAATTTCAGCATCTTTTCTTCTAAGCAGACCCAGGTTACACTTCCGCCATGACAGATTCGTTTATTCTTTTGACAGTCCATGGCATGTAGTCAATACTTTTGCCAATACCACAACTCAAAGGTATCAATTCTTTTTGTTAGGTGCCATCAAGTTCACTACAACTCATAGTGACCATATGAGCAACAGATCTGAACTTTGCCTTCTTCTGCTCCATCCTCCATAATGTCCTCCATTATGCTCAAGTCCAGTGTTGTCCCCTGTATCATTCATTCTGTTTCATTGAGGGTCTTTCTCTCTCCCTATGACCTGCTCCCTTTCCCAGCATAAAGTCTTTTTCAAGGGCTGGCCCCTTCTAGCAACATGTCCAAGGGAGCTTTGGTGGCCTACAGTTAAGAAGCTATGCTGTAATCCCATAGGCCTGTGGTTTGACTCCACCATTTGCTCCTTGGGAGAAGAATGGGCATTCTCCTCCTGTGTGATTACCCACCTCTGAAAACCTGCTGGTCCATCAGCTATGGGTCAGTTCTGGCTTGACAATACACAACAACATGACAGCAACATGTCCAAAGCATGTGACATGAAGTTTCACCATCCTTTCCTATAAGGAGTATTCTTGTTGGACTTCAACCAAGACATTCCTGCTCTTTAACATTTAGAAAATATCCTTACAGACAATTTTCCCAATGCATTATGTCTTTTGTACTTCTTGACTATTGCTGCCATGGATATTAAATATGGATCCAAGTAAAATGTCATTTGGACAACTTCAGTCTTTTCTCTGTATTTATGGTGCTGCCTATTGGTTCCCTTATAAGCATTTGTGTTTCTTGATGTTGAGGTGTAATCTATATTGTCTTTGGTCTTCAGTAAGTGCTTTACGTCTTCTTGTGTCTCACCTATTTCGCTCTTTTCAAATTCATCCGTGTTATAACATGCATCAGGACCTCATTCCTCCTTGCAGGTTCATTTTGTTTATTCATTTCTCTGCTGATTCATTTACTCTACTGTAATATTTAGGCTGTTTTCAGCTTTGGTCTATTATGAACAACACTGCAATGAACCTTAGTGTACAGATTTCTGTTTGCATTTCTACCTTTTCTTCTGGAGAATTCTTCTTGGAATTGTAAATTCAACATTAACCTTCCACAAAGATCTCAAGATCTTAGATCTCAGACCAGAAAGAGATTGTGATTTCCTATTCTCAGATCATTTTTCAGAAATATTAGAGATGAACTCCAAGTCTAGCTTCTGATTATGGGCTCATCTGAGAATGGAAGAGTCTGGATGAAATTATTCCAGAAGACTCTCTGCTTTCTCATTAATTTTCAAAGGGGAGTGAGAAGTCTTGAGGGAAATAATGCAGATTAGGAAGCAAATACAAAAAAAAAATCCAAGAATTGGGCTTACAAACACTGTTATAAAGCAGATCTGACATGGAGGGTTGGGAGGCGAAGAGGATAAGAATGGATAGATGATCACTGCACTGGAACAGATGGAGGGAAGAACTGTTTAAAAGGAATATATAATTAGGCATTATACAACAGCCCAGAATAAGAAAAAGACTGAGGGGGAGTAAGGGAGGTAGGTAATTGTGCAACAATGAACGAATATTAAAAAAAAAAACCAAAACAAAACAATGAACCAGGGGTGGGGGAAGGGAGAGAGAGAGGGTAAAGTGTGCGACAATGAATGACTGAAAATGTTAACTTCTTAAAAAAACTATGAGATATCATCTCACCCCAGACAGAATAGAAAAATTTAACAGAACAGCAAGCAACAAATGCTGGTGAGGTTGTGGAGAGACTGGAACACTTATTCACTGTTGGTGGGAGTGTAAAATGGTGCAACCATTATGGAAGGCAGTATGGTGCTTTCTCAAAAAGTTACAAAATAAGATACCATTTGACCCAGCAATTCCACTACTAGGAATATACCCTAGAGAGACCATAACTGACATCCAAGCAGATATATACATATCCATGCTTCTTGTGGCTTTGTTCACAAATAGCAAGGAGTTAGAAGCAACCTAAGTGTCCATCAACAAACGAATGGATAGAGAAGCTATGGTATAGTCACACAATGGGATACTGTGCTGCATTGAAAAACAAGGAACTCATGCAGTATTATTCAAAATGGGTGACCCTGGAGGACGTTATGCTGAGTGAAGTATCTCAGTCACAAAGGGCCAATTCTTCATGGTGCCACTGTTATAAAACAGGACTGACATTGGGTTGAGGAGAACCTGAGAAAGATGGGTTCAGTAATGTATACTGCATTGAAACAGATGAGGGAGAAAACGGTTTAAAACAGATATGTGATTAGGTATCATTGTCATGACAGGAGTCTAGAGTGAAGGCTTGCATAGTGGATGGACATGGTGGGAGGGATTGTAAAACAATGAAAGAATTTTTCTTTTACTTTTCCAAGAGGGTAGTCTACTAGGGGGGAAGGTTAGGAGGGGAGAAAAGTGTAACAATGAATGAATGGAAATCCAAAGTCTCTGTGAATTTTTACTGAAATGAATAATAAATTTAAATTTAAAAAGATACTAAAAACATCCTAGCAGGAAGAAATAATACAAATATAATCATCAAATTATAAATAGAAAAAAATGTTAACTTCTCTGTAAATGTTAGTAAAAATAACAATTAAAAATTTTATTTAAAAAAAAAAATTCTTCTTACAGCCCGGCCCCTGGCATTCAGAGCACTCCTACATCTCGGGATAAAACCTAATATCCACACCGTGTCGCCTTGAAGTGCCTGACATTTATTCATTTCAGGATTTTGCAGTTATTTCACTGAATTTAGACTAAAATTTGCATTCTACTTGGTCCCTAAGCAAAAGAGGAATTGCTGGATGGTACCTACAGTTTAAATGTTCATTTGCTGGCCAAAAGGTTGGTGGTTCAAGAACCTCAGAGGTGGAAAAAATGCTGGCAATCTGCTTCTCAAAAACCAGTCACTAAAAACCCTATGGAGTATATGGACATGGACATGCACTGACTTGGTCACCATAAGTTGCTGTCAGCTCAGAAGCAACTTATTTTTAACGTAAAAGGGGGTATATTTGTGCTCATTCAGGTTGCAGAAAATAGTATTCTGTGATCTAGGTGTGACTGTCATCTTGATCATGCCATTTTCGTGTTTTTCTGAAGGCAGAGAACCAGCAAGAGAGGCATGGATCTTGGATCTTCGGGAGCAAAATCTACTCATTCTGCACCCATACAGCAGCCCAGAGACCTCTCTTGCTAAGCCCTAAGCCCCGGTGGAGTCCCCTAACACTTTGTCCAAGTCTAGACTTCCACCATCACATTAGCAGACAATTACTACAGTGATTAGTGCCCGAGTCTTAATCCTAAGAGTTTCTGTTTAGGCCTAGGTTTTCAACCCTGGTGAGGTCTGGGAGTTCTGGGAACAAGCAGTTTACCTTCCCTTACCTGCCAAGTCTAGACACCAAGGGGACGACCAGAAGGGATCCAAGAAAGCCTCCAAAGGGGAACATGGACACCGAGATAGACCACAGCAAGGTCAGGAAGGATTCATCCATGTAGCCCTGGGTTCTATCATAGTTGGTGCTATTGTAAAACTGCTTCATGATCTGGAGAGCAAGACAGAACAGAACACCCAAATGATCTGGCCTGGCCAGAGAAAGAAATGGAAGTTGTTAGGCCACCCCAGAGGATGATGCAGACCTACATTTATCACCACAGTCCAGTGGAGGAGGGGGAGTTAGGATACCCTCATGGGTACACTAACCACCCAGGACGTTTCTCATACCAGAAGCTTCTAGATGACTCTCCCCTCTCTGGGTCCCTCCAGAAATTGCAAGGCAGGAGCACATCCAAGGCCCTTCCCAAACCCAACCCACATGTGTCCAGCTTGGTCTGGTCCTTGTGTCCTGCTACACCTGGACTGTGTGTGTTCTGGAAATCTGGATCTGTCTCCATGAATTTCCCGTGGGTCTATATGTACATTTTGTCTCTTTGAGGACCCAGTGTATACATTCACTGTTCCCACAGTCCCACCCAGCTGCTTCCTCCATGTTTCTTCAGGAGTTTTGTCTTGTCCACAGCAAAGACCTACCTCCGCAGGGGAGTTGATAACAGCCACGTTGTACCCATACTGAAAGGATGACCCAAAGGCAGCGATCAGTGCAGCCAGGGCCAGCACAAGTGTCAGTCTCTGTGGAGAGATAATAGCACAGTCAGGAAGTGACCTTAAGGCCCAAGGGGTCTCCTTGTTATAGTTCAAAGAACATTGGTGTACAAACCTCTAAAAAAAAAAAAACAAAAAACAAAAAACAGACAGACATAAAAAATCTGAGAATCTGTCAGCTTTCAACTGCTCCTATCTTGAAGCATACCCTCTGCCTACTTTGAATTAGGACAGTTTTTCAACCGTGAGACTAGACATTTTGGGTGGGATGATTAATTTCCCAGAGGCTGACTATGGAATAGACCATCAACTACTCATGTGTAAGTTCAAATTGACACTGAAGAAAATTAAAACAAGTCCGCAAGAACCAGAATGATCCTGAGTCTTACCTATGTTATTTTAAAAATTATCTTAAGTATAAGTGTGTACAAGTTACAGTATAAGTTTGTAGTATTGAACACCTCTGAAAACCCACTGCAGAGTCAGCTATAAGTTGGTTCTGATTCACAACTAAGGGTTGTTGACTTGTATTTTTTAGAAGTAGGTTACCAGGCCTTTCTTCCAAGGCACTTCTGGGTGAGCCTTGGAGCTCACCCAGGTTGAATGTTGACTGTGGATCCAAGTAAAATGAAGTTGTTGACAGTTTCAATCTTTTCTCCATCTACCATGATGTTGACTATTGTTTCAGTGGTGAGAATTTGTGTTTACTTGTTGAGATGAAATCCATATTGAGGGTTGGAACCTCCAACCTTTCAGTTAGTCGCTAAGCATGTTAACTGTTTCCATCATATCTCTCTCTCTCCCTCTCTCCTTCTCCCTCTCCTTCTCTCCCTCCTTCCCACTCCCTCTCTCTCCCCCTCTCTTTGCCTCCAAAGAGTTGGAACCAACCAATAGCTGATTCTCCATTGGGTTTCTGAGATTGTGAATCCCACAGGAGAAGACTGTCTACCTTCCTCTCATGAAGTCATTGATGGCTTCAAACCACTGTTGAGATGAGGTTTTGTATCACCGAGCTACTACAAAATGCCTTTGGACATCACCATCTATGTCCCCTGGGTAGGGACAAGGACATGCCTAACAGAGAATCACTTGGTCCAAAAGAGCCTGAAACATCACTTACTCTCACACTACATTTAATGTTTGAATCTCTTCTGTGACATTCCTGCTCTATAGATGCATTAGTTGACCACCTTGAATGTCTTAAGCACTGTTTCACACCCAAACTCCCTAAAAAATCAAAGAAAAAAAAAGGAAAAATATATTTAGGGTCACAAATTAATTTCTTTTAGGCCCAAGGCTTTTGGCGAAGGTGGCACAGTGGAGAAATAAGAAGTAAAACTGTATTTAAATAGATTGTGAGGATGCTGAAATGTTTCTGATCACATTCCCTTGAGACATCTGAGGAAACTGAAAACTCATTTTGCCATCTTTAGTGACAACAGGGAGCTCTGGTGACATAGGCTAAGGTGCTGAGCTATTAACCCAAAAACTGTGTATCTATGCTAGTTCAAATATATGGTTCTTTGTGGGAAAGATGGACAGTGTCATTGTGCCATTTATAATCCAATGGAAGCTCCCTTGAGTCAGTTCTGAACACACAGCAGTGAGTTATTGATTTGTTGGTACAAATCAAAATCACTAAGCTTGTCTTTCTATAGCAGTGAGCTTTGATCTGACCTTGGTGATGATAAGAGGGCATTCATTAGTGATAAAAGAGAAGTGCAAAGAGCTTTGCTCTTAGATTCTACAACTCTTATTTTCTCTTTGGCCACTAGCCATCTCTAATTTAATTTTTCTGATTTTCGTTTTGTCTTTAGGGTGAGGAAACTCTTGCATAGTTATTGAGGGCATTGATTATGAAAGCGTGGGCTGTGGAGTTGCACTGTGGTATCCCATCTATTGGGGTGACGGTGGGATATTGTTCTCTGCATCCTCCTTTGAAGGTCTATCCCTCCCCTAATGGAGTTTTCTCTTCCATGTAATACAGTTGTGTCCATGCTCAACCTTTATGGTCTTACCCAGTGGGAATCTAAAGGCTTCATGTCACCCTTGGACACTGCTACCAAATCTAAGGAGGACTCCTCAAGAGAGTTAGGTGAGGGGGCAGGAGAAGGAGGGAAAGGAATGGGTGCCCAGATATGAGAGTTCATCTACCCAGAAGGGTGAGCAAGGAGCTCCCTTCAAGAGAGCTGTGATGAAAAGCACTGTGACAAGAAACCTTCCTCATTTGTCTGCAGCATTCTTCTCCTTCTGCCACCTTGAAGGACAAATAGCTAATTCAGCAAGAAGATTCTGGTAAGAAATGTTCCCTAGTCAAGTCAACCTGGCTGGAGTCTCCTCAGCCTACTCATTCCCTGGCAAGGAGACATTTGAAGAAGTGGTGACGGTAGGGGAATGGCAGGTTCAGGGATGCAAGTGATGTCTAAAGGCAGGAGTGTGTATATACATGTGCACACAGGCACACACGTGTACACACAGACACTGGCTCTGAGATCTAAGTCCTGGCAGATTCAGCCATCTGAAGTACTCTAGAATGACATTCATTCATTCAACATCGTGTACACCTACTTTTAGTAGACAGACACACAGCTATAGGTGCTGAGGACATAAAACCAAACACCAAACCCACTGCCATCCAATTCAGTCGGTTCTGACTCAGGATGACCCAGCAAGTCTCCAAAGTAGTAGAAATCTTTATGGGAGAAGACTGCTCATCTGTCTCTCACTGAATGGCTGGTGGAGTCAACCTGCCAACCTTTCATTGGGCAGCCCTATATATTATGCACTATCCCACCCGGGCTCCTTACTGGAACGTGGTAGTGGCTGAAGCAAAGATCCCTTCTCTGCAGCTGGTCTATAGTTTAGGTGTTGTGGGCTTTTTTTATATTTCCTTGGAAAACAATGGTTTTTACAAATTTCTTCTCTTTATAGCCTCTCCCTAGTAAGATAATTAAGAGGACTCTGGTGGCCTAGTGGAGAAAGAGTTGTACAGTGACCCCAAAGGCACATGGTTTGAATCCATCAGCTGCTCCCAGGGAGAGAGATGGGCAATCTCCTCCTGTGGGCTTTATAACCTCTGCAAACACACTGGAGGGTCAGCTATGAGCTGGTGTTCCAACTCAACAGCAATCAGTTCTTTGACCTGAATAAGATCATTAATGATAAATGAAACAGACTTCATACAGGTGCAATCCCAACCACTCCCAGGCCTGACAGGTTATGAAGTCCCCTGGGTCGGGGTGGTGGTCTCTCACGTGGTACACCCCATGAGTGCAAAAGAGCTTGGAGATGGGCTGGTGCTTCTAGAATGGTGAAGAGGGAGTTCCTACCACCCCCTACTCTCTTTATTGTCTCTCCAAGCAAGTCACAGCAAAAATGACTAAAAAGCCTCAGGCTGAACCTCTGAGCACTAAACACACAACTCAACCTCTAATCTTTGGTGTTCTTTTTAAACTTGGGCCACGGACATAGTCTATGGTCTCTGTAAGAGTAAAGACTTAACATCTGTGAAATAGCAGAATGTCCTGGGTTGGTTCTTTATCGCTCTTGCTAGCCCAGTTGCTTTGGATCATTAGACCAATAATCACTTATTGCCTGAGTCTCTGGGTGGCAGAAATTATTATCACATTTGGCTGTTAAAGGGAAGGTTGGAAGTTCCATTCTATGCAGAAGCACTTCAGAAGCAAGGCCTGGCAATCTATTTCTGAGAAACCAGCCAAGCATGGAGCAGACCCACTCTGGCACACAGAGCGTCATCATGCATCCAGAGCCACTTGAGAGCTACTGGTTTGGTTTACTGACAGCTGACCACACGCCAGGCACCACAAGTACTGTGGAGAGTAAAATGCACAGGCACGGTACCTGCCTTCAAAGATTTTATGCTCCAGTAGGGAAGAGAGACATTAAGAAGAGTTACACAATAACTACAGTTAAACCATAATCCTGATAAGGGCTATGAAGAAAAGAATACAGGCATGATTAAAAAGGGAGTAATGAAAAGAAATTTAAAAATTTTTTTTAAAAAATGGAGTAATGGAAGTGATATTTCAGCTAAGACCTTAGAAAGACCTTCCCTAAAGAAGGGAAGAAAGAGGAAGAAGGACCATATGAACAGATGAGGGCAACAGCATGTACAATGGCCTGAGGCAGGAAGGAGTGTGGGATCTTCTGGTGTCTTGATACAGGTCCATTAGGCTGGAGAGCAGGAAGAAGAGGTTGAGGCAGGGAGAGTCACAGGACAGACCAGAGTGTCGCATCCATGTGCTCTGGGAAACAGAATTCCAGCTGCTTAGTGGAGAACTGAAGAGTACAAAGAGGCTGTATTGCAGAAGGGTTGAGAGTTTGGGCAAGGAGCAGGAGTGAAATTCATGAACTTGGTATATCCCATCAGAAAAATGTACCTCAAATCTGCAACTAACTACTACTTCTCACCTGCTAACCAAACAAAAAGCAATTTGTTGCCATCAAATGGGACTCATACTGACCCTATTTGGCTAACAACGAGATATTGGCTGGAAGCATCTTATTTAAGAGCCACTCAGGGCACAGGCCTCAACACTGAAAAGTCAGTTGGAACCATTCTAAGTGGTACAGCACTAGTCTCTCAATTTGCTCTACTGAGGTAATTTGGGGTTGCTGTGATACTAAACCCTGTGTCCTATTGTGTCCTATAGGGCTGCTATGAACCAGAGTACTAAGTATGTCAGATGAAGCTTCCCCATCTTTGTCTCCAAGGAGCATTTTGGTCGCATATTTTCTAAATATATCTGTTCTTTTGGCAGTCCATAGGATATTCAATACTCTCCTCCAGCACCTCAAAGGTATCAATTGTCTTTTGTCCTTATTCATTATGCAGTCTTCAATGTATAACAAATGATTGAAAAGGTCATGGCCTGAATCAGGTGCACGATGGTCTTCAAAATGGCATCATTGCTCCTCAGTAATTTGGAGAGGTCCTTAACAGCAGGCTTTTTCAGTACAACACATCTCTTGATCTCTTGACTGCTGCTGCCAAGGGTACC